GCTCGGGAGAGAAATGTAGAAAGAACTATAAAGGGAAAAGCCCAAGATTACACCCTCTGTTACAAATACATACCATTAAAGATAAATAAAATAATAAAATAAAATGGATAATGCATACGTCCTATTGTATCGTATAACCTTTTCACAGAGATCAGACAGAACTGTCAAAAAATTAGGGGGAAGGGCAATTTTCTAAAATATAAATGTTTTTCTAACAGATGTGATTATAAGAAGGGAGGCAAATTATTATAATTATTACTAGGTGACAAACTTTGAAAAAAAAACAGATGTAGTTTTTATAGGGTTTTTTTGTGTGTTTTTTTCAGTGGGGAGAGGGGAGGGGTTATGGAAGGGTGGAGGTAGGGTAAAGAACAAGCATGGAATTGTTACAACTCCAAGGCTCTTTCACACAGTTTTATGGCCAAACACACACACTCCTGTTTCCTTCCCTCTTTAATTCTGGCCCAAGTTCTTCACGGTATTAACTTTAGAAAAAGGCTCTCTCTGCCTCAGAGTTACTTTACGAACATTACCTTACAAATATGGCATAAATAAGACCTCCAAAAGAGATGCCGCCTCAAAATGATGTACACCACCAGTATGTTTCCACAGTGTATCAATTCGCCAAGAGAGAAACCACCGTGGGCTGCTGAGAGTAACATACTGACTGCCTTCAGAACCCTGAGTTTCCCAGGCACAGGCAGGTGGGCGCCAGACAACTGGAGAAGGCTGATGAACTGCTATTGTAGCTGCCCTTCAATAATCATGTTTCCTTTGTCCATTAAAATAGGACTCTTTTTTTTTTTTAAGATGAGCACGCTGCCAAGCGGAATAAAGGCTACAATTACCAGTCATATTTACAGCTAGGTGTGACCTTGTGATTATATTCCTAGCCAACTGGACATAATCAGTGGTTGCTAGTAAATATTTAAAAACCAGTTCTATTTGGGAGGGAGGAGGGTGATGGGGGAAGCCTGGGTATGTAGTGTTTGGGTTTGTTGTGTCTGCCAATTTCCATGGTATAAATCACCCCACTGTGGGTAATTTCAGGCTTCCGCCCTGGTGACACTGAACAGGGAGTTGGGAAGAGCTGCAGCTCTCGGGTGAATGTAACGAAGTGTGATATGTGATTTCTGGGAAATGTCCTGAAAGAAGGCGGCCAGCCTTCCTGGATGGGGGTATGCCCTTCCCCCCTCCTCCCCCCCGCTGGTCAGAACGTACATGTGGTGGCTGGAAGGCCAGAGTGGAACACCGGGAGGAAGCAGTGTATACAGAAACACAGAATCACAATGGAGAAGCCTTGGTCCCCGATGCTCACCGCTGCTGGGCTGGCCCCAGCACGCTCACCTGCCAACTTCACTTATGCAACATTTGTGAGAGAGAAAAACACTTCTATCTTGTAAATGCAAGCGGTATTTGGAGTGCTCCCATTCGCAGGGGAACCTACTACCACTGAGGGCATCATGCATGCTGAACAAGGTAACTAAACAAGACTAGGATTGTATCTGCTAGGCTCATAAAGGATTCAGGTTTGAAACAACAAATGAAATGCCTGAACCTTTCTGGAAGGGACAAAGAGGACAGAGGGGGCATCACATGTTGGTGAAGACAGCAGCCATGGGAAAGATGGACCTCACCTCTCCCACCTCAGCCCCTCCCCTCTGACCTACAGACCCACAACAAAGAGCGAGCCATCCCACGCCAACAAGGCTGCCCCCTTGCCCACAAGGGGCCAGCTTCCGAACCCACGGCCGGGCATCAGGGAGGACTCTCCCGCTAGGGGCAGTCGGATCCTCTGCCTGAGAAAGAAAGGCTGTTCTCAGACCTCGCTCTTCCAGAGCGGTTTTCCCAGGTCTGGAGAAATAGTAAATGTAGGTCACGCAGGGGAACAACGGGAATTGCCTCGGGCAGCAGCAGGCAGGGTAGTATACATGCCTTTCTGGCATGGATTTGAAACGTTTTGCTTAGGCACAGGCTGGCCTGTTACTGTGTTTGTGTTATACAGTAGGTTCCAGACAAACACTGAATGACTTACTTAAAATACGGGTAAAATTTATTACATGTGAACCCCTCCCAAAAGTTAATAGGCAAAGAGAAGATAATAGTGTCACGGGTATATTCTTATGGTGGGTGAAAAAGGGGCTACGCGATAGACCTGCCAGGCCCAGGGGGCCACACGGCAGGCCTGACCAGCCCAGTGACCAAAAGTACCCACACGGGACGGTCTGATCACTAATTCCTAACTGGGCAGGTCCCAGCAGGTAGTCCTGCTGCAGGCCTACAACGTCCTCAGCAAAGCTCAATCCTTACCTCAAGTGAGCCCTATCCCCTGTTCTTGTGCATCTGGGAGAACATACCTTCGAACCCGCAGAGTAATTTTCTTTTCCTACCCCTCAAAGGCACAAGCACTGGAGCCAGCGCATGAGACCACAGAACCCCTCATTGCTCTTGTTCCCCACCTATCGTCTCTGTGCTATAAATGTTAACTATTAACTATCCTGTACCCCCCAGTGTAAAACTCTGTTTTCCTATTTTGCCTTTTATCCAATCCTGCAGATTTCTCTGCTTTGCTTTCTCCCACCCCCTTAATCTACCACCAATGGATTTCATGTGTCTTCCTTCGATCTCCTTTGATTCTTAAATTTTTAATTGACTTTTTTAGAGAGAGAAACATCGACCCATTGTTCCACTCACCTATGCATTCACTGGTTGACTCTTGTACGTGCCCTGACCAGGGGTCAAACCCACAACCTTGGTGTATGGAGATGACGCTCTAACCAACTGAGCTACCCAGCCAGGGCAGATCTCCTTTGATTCTAATGTATACAATAAACTGCAAAAGCGCCATTCTCCAGACCAGTTATAATCTTGCTCCCCAGCATATGTTGTCAGCTTGGCTCAAATAAACTCATAAAAATTCTCTACAGGTTTGGACGTTTCTTAACAAGGTCAACATTATCTAATTTCAAAACACTCTTCCTGAAGTCTGCAGGGAACAGGTGTGCACATGTCAAACATGCGGCTCGGCCATGCCGAGTGTCCGAGTGCATCGCTGTCACTGTGTGGGGATCCCACGGGGACCTCCTCCCCTCACTCTCCGCCTGGAGGGTCTCTGCATTCACTCGACCTCTGTCTCTTAACACTTCAGACTGAAGAGCTCTTGGGCAATCAGCCCGATTTTCAATCTCTCCTTACCACCATACCCACCTCTCTCCCAATACAGGAGAGGCTAAGAACCTGGCACGAGTTGGTGGCACAAAGGAGGGGGCACTCTCAGCGACAAAGGCAGGAAGGGCGGGAACAGCAAGGCCAAGTCAGCAAGAAGAGGAAGCGGCCCGGCCCGGCCGCACAGGCTGAGGAACACCTGTGCCAGAAGCGGTTCTGAAAACAACTAAATAAAGCACAGTGTAGTTCTAAGATAAAAACAAAGCGAAAACTAAACTTTCAGTCACATCCCCTCACGTATCCTGACTGCAGGCCAAGAATCTTTTCAAATATTCGCAGATCCTTGTTGCGAATATCTGAGGTACAACCATTATCACTTTTAAGTCACAAACCCAGGCACTGGACAAGCGACGCAGGTCGCATCCTGGCTCGGGCACTTACCAGCTGTAACAACGTGCATTTGTCTAGCCTCAGTTTCTCCAGCTAAAAAATGGAGCTCATCAAGCATACTTGGCAGGGTGGTTGCAAAAATTAGACTTGACATAAAGCACAGACACGTGCCAAAGGTCTACACAAAACAATACTCTACAAATGAGAGCTATATAAACTTTAGGTTAGAAGAGAATATATGTGGTGGTTGTTGATATGCAATCAAAAATTGAAATTGAGACAGGTTGATGGCATAGTTTTAAATCATAACAAGTAAAAACTGAAATGAATCAACATATATAACATAATCCACACGTCAATAATCTGGGCCCCCAACAGAGGAAAGTGAGATGAAACTGGACAAAATCTAGCACAGTTCTCCCTCTCTGTTATGGAAACTCTTATCTTCATTTTCACACTTCTGTCCACTAGCCTATTTCTGCACCCGTCCCAACGGCACCTCTGTTATCTTGAGCAAGAAGGGAAATTCTGCATTTTACTTTTCAATGGAGGTCTGACCTCTACAGACTGCCCCATATGANCCCAATAGCACCTCTGTTATCTTGAGCAAGAAGGGAAATTCTGCATTTTACTTTTCANAACGGCACCTCTGTTATCTTGAGCAAGAAGGGAAATTCTGCATTTTACTTTTCAATGGAGGTCTGACCTCTACAGACTGCCCCATATGATCCCGCTGGGCCACTGGCCAAAATCTAAAGTGTAGCTTAAAACTTTGTGAAACAAGTCTACCTCTATAAAATGAGTCTACTTGCTAATTCAACTGGCAACTCAATTTCCAGGGGGTGAACCTGACAACAAAATGTTTTAAAAGCGAAATTACCATTTGTAGTCAGAAGGTGTATATCAGAGCAAGCCGTCTCCTTCCCTCAAATATATTTTAAATAAAAGAAAGAGAGCTGCCTCTGAAATCCAATATTCAAATGAAGCAGAAAGGATCCTTCTGAACAGTTTAGAAGGTGGGCAGGAAGGTGGGGAAACAGCCCGCGGAGGGAGGCTGGGAGCCGATTTACAGGGGGTGAGAACGACCTCTTCAGTAACAACTTAGAAAAGGACGTGAGTTAAAAAGGCCCCGACTCTGCACTAGTATCACCCATCATAAGACTCTGCAAACTTTTGAGCCAGCCAATTATGCAGCTTCTAAATTAATTTTGTAGTTTGTTCGTTCCAAGTGTCCTAGAAATAACTGCTAGATGTTTTAGTTATGTACAAATGCTACGGAATTTTCCCGAGTGACCACATTTTACATCGAGGGTGTGGGGGGGGGGG